CATGACTTATCGATCGGTCCCAGATGTATTTAACGACTTTGAATCCATACTGTGCAGTCGCTGGAAGACAATCGCTATCTGGGGAGTGACAAAATTCATCCCAAAGGAAAAACGAACTGTCAGTCGTTAACTGATTTGTACCTCTGGCGAAAAATGTCGTTACCCTCATAAAGTTCCAGCAAAAAAATCTCGCAGCACTTTCATCCTGATGTTAACAGAACGAAAATGGTTGCGTGAAATTGTGTTCACTGGTCAAACATTGACTCGGAATCGGAACAGTGGACAAGTTAGTGTGTCCAAGAGGTGTGCTTGTCATCAGAGTCCTCAGGAAAGCGTGATTGTCATTCTGCGCGTTAGCAACCAAACAGTCGGAGTGAGTACACGAGGATTTGTTTGATGATGTGAATGGATAACAGTATCTCTTCGTTGCTGATTGTTTTAGCAAGTGCACCGAAGTGCTCTGCATGGAGCGTACAACAAGTGGCGCAACAGTCAGCATACGGAAAAGACTTTTCAGACAGTATGGAAAATCTAAGGCCCTAATCACTAACAATGGCTCTCAAGTTATCTCTTCACAAGTTACCGAATGCCGTACGCTTAACGCTGTCCCACCCATAATCCAAATGACCAGCGGAGCACTATGTTGACAGGTTGAAAGGGACGCTGCTAAAGATGAAGAAGAAAAGAAGCAAAAGACACTGGATGCTTTCATTATGCTGTGCAGACCAACCCCAAGCTCTCAGGTGCCAAATCAGCTATTAACAGCATAAGAGTTATTGAGTAAAATCTACGTGCTCTGCACTCATTGCAACTTCAGAAGCGCAACAAAAAACAACCAGCAGTTCGCTGGTACACAGTACCGACGCGTTGGTGTCACGTAACCACCACTAATCGAGCGTGGGCTAAGGATGCTGCGATGGTAGCCAAGTCCCCTACGCAGGCTCGAACCCGCGACCTCCGAATTACAAGGAAGGTTTGTGATCCTTGCGATTACCGGCCGCCTTCAGAAGAATATTGATTCACAAGAGAGGAATGCGAGAATAGGAAAGTGTTTCAATCAGCAACATGGAACGCAAGTACGCTTAGTGCACCCAGGACAATGTTTTAATCAGAGACTATCGCACGAGAAGGCCATAGTGTACAAAAGGCTTGATCGTGAGTAAACTTGGACAAGTAATTCATGAAGTCCGAGTGGACGCTATGAGTTTGGTCATACACGTAAATCAATCTTCAAAGAGATGGAAGTGGATGATTGATGTAATTTTGATGTACTTATGAGTAGGGGATTTTGATATAGATAATTGAGGCTCATCACAGCCAGCTTCCAAACCAGATAGTCGTTCACATGCCCGGAAAAACACTAGACTGCAGTTTCAGCCTGTTGGGCATCATCAGTAGTGCGCATCCATCAGGATTGGAACCCATGACAACTAACGGCTTGTACCACCAGTCAGCAGCTTATGCCACTAGGCCACGGAGGACAGCTTCGGACAGTCATGATTTACAAGCTAACTGTGATATAGCGCGTCTTATCCTCAACTGCCATGCAAGTTACGAACGTTGCAGAAGACAGGGTTGGCCCCGAAAGACACGATGTAATTCTCTATTCTGTTGGAAAATTTCGACACATCTTAGGACTCAAGAGGGACAGAATGAACTAGGTCCAATGGCCACAAAAAGAACAATCTTGCAGTTGGATTCCGTAAGAAAGTTGTGTAGCAATTGAGCGCAGGTGTTAGGGGAACCCGCTTATAGAAGCCCTTCAAGCCTGGTTCTATATCGGTAGTCTGGAGCAAACCAGATCGAAAGCTATTGGACAAGAGCCAAACAATGAGAGCGCCCTTCCATTGGGGTCGGCCAATAACATCCCCTGGTAGCTCAGATTTTTCCTCTGGGTCAGTGCTATCGAAGTAAATAACCAGAGCTGTTCTGACTGGCAACAATGTAGTTTCCAAAGGTCAAATGAGTTTTGGAGAGGTTTCTGCCTACTGATTTAAGGAGTAGTTAGTCCTTGATCGGAGTAGCTGCATCGTTTAGTGGTGAGCAAAATCAATCTGCTGAGCACGAACGGAATCGATTCCGGATACTTAGTAAATGTGGTAAAACTGTCACTGGCTGGATAGTACGCAGCACCCCAAGCCACATGCAATGACTGGCGGTTAAGTGGCAGCGAAGCGCCGGTACGAAATTCCAGCGTACTGCCTATGGTCGTGATTTAACCGACAGACACCTAATCTATATAGATGAGACAACGAGAAGGCATAATAAGGAAGTCGGTTGGTAAACAAATAAAGGGCGTGGGTCAGTAAGTGCGTGTGCGATTAAGATTTGCCAAGTAATCCAATACAGTGCTAGAAGGTCTAATGACGCACCACAACCATTAAGTACCCCGTGGCTCCAATAAACTTAGTGAATGCCTGAGGCACCAGTTACAGATAAAAGCAGTTCAGTTAGTTTGGTAGTTCGAATACGATCAGTCCGGTGTAGCTTCGTAGATCCAGTTACCATGGCGTATATCACCACAGAAAGATGATCAAGATAGGGGAAAGGAGAAAAAGCAAAGTTAAACTAGAGGCAAGACTTATCAGTAAAAGAGGATGTGAGAACATCACTGGTTTCGCGAGTGTATCATACTCAATCTTGACCACTCTATCTAAGATGAAGACCCATACAAACCCCATTCAGGGTTGCAGCAACTCCCCGCATGTCAATGTCAATGATTGAAAAGAGGTGCGTCAGCAGAATATCGGCGATTTGTGCTGACGCTTCGGTGCTACGTGACTCCCAGCAGCAATTGAGTGCGAAGCAGAGATAAGATGAGATCGCACGTGCCTACACAGGTTCGAGACAGGCATCAGCAGCACCGTATCAGTATGCCGTGGCAGACGCCTTATCCTTTTGGGCCACGGGTCGAACCAATGAGCTATGTGATACAAACCTAAAGTTTTCATCACTAGGTTACCTGCCGATACATCAATCACCGATGACGTGTGGACATCTCCAAAGAAGGTTCAGCGTCGGCATATAGTGCACATTATTCGTCATAAAGTACAGTTGTCATAATGGAGATATAGTACGGAAACAATCCATCAGAACTCGCGTCGCAACGAGACTGGACCTTAACTTAGTGCGACGGTTTGCGTACCTCGCTGACCCATTGAGCTATACTGGGTAGTGTCTCCGGACCACATCTACCATGTTGGTCAATAGTTAGAAGTCAGATCAACTCAGTTTCCAGGTAACTATCAGGTCGGGGGTTTGAAAGGGAATGACGTCCATTACTGTGAGATCAAATCATTACCACCTCCCCGCTGCCTCGCGGACAGGATTTTGAGCCAAAGGATATGGTTGAGGATCGTAATCGTCCTCTTGCTAACTCTGGGGGCCTGGCAGTGTCTCAGAAACATAAAACCAGAATTTCTCCAAACTAACTACATCCTGCATCGGACGCCGCGGGGTTTACGAGAGAAATGGTTATCAAGAAAAATTTGTTTGGAAATATATAGAGTGCAGAGAAATGAGAGCTAAACCAGCTTCGGTAGAAAAGAAACCGGTTTAACTATCGTTGCCGTTCAAGGGGAATGGTATAGCGCGGGCAACATCTAGAAGGTTATCCGACGCTATGAGCCATACCTACTACGCAGGGAGCTCGTGGCTACGCTTTACTTCGACACCAATCGTGAGGCTTCAACTCAAAGACAGACTTCCTTGGTCATATGCTTCTTACTGTGTATATTCCTTCCCTTGTTCATGTCGAGCAACATACATCGGAAAAACTACAGGGCTATCTATGAGAATAAGTGAGCATTGTCCAGTTAATCTATGCAATGGTGGGAACGAAAGTGTGATGAGCGCCGTGTTGGCATACTTGGTTGATTCTAATCACCAAATCGACACCTGTCCATCTTTCCAACCCATGTACCGTGAAATGAAGTCACTGACGACGAAACTGGATGCCGCTGGTCCTTCTCGCCTTCCCGGATGGAGTCCATGCGACTCGCCTCGTGCTTAGATCGAGATTTAATAAGACCTGACTCGCAGTCGACACCAGTAGAGAGTCTGCTGTTGTCTCGTAGTCGGAATGTCTGTCTAATGTATGTTTGGTGCTGGGTTATCTGCGGGGTACTGGCTAATTATGACGTGGGCAGCGAAAGCCGTAGGGAAGCTATCTCACTGATACTGCCTTACCTGTGCATGATAACCAGCTGTTTGTGACGGTATGTTGTTAACACAAGGTATAGGTGCCTTGACGAGAAATGTTTGCTTAGGGCATTAAGTCCTCCCTTCTCTCCCAGTTATTATTCTTTATTCCATAGGTTACCATGGTTGTATGGCAGCGAAGCATCAGTTTGAGTGGCTCATGTAATGCTGTTGTTAATTGGGAGAGAGTCATAACCGTTACTTCAGCTTAACGCCGACGATAAGAACTCAGAAATGCTTCAAATTTGTCTCAATGTCGCCCTATTCACCCGAGTTTTGAATGACCGGAAAAGCTTGCAGAAGCCCACTATCGACGCAACGTTGAAGAAAAATTCCAGACTCTTGTTAGATACCAGACTGAGGAGAAAGATGGGGTTTCTGCCTTTGATGCAGTTGCCACAGGAACGTCGTTTCGCGTCAATGTGCAATGAACCGAAAGCAAAGCAGATGACAAGCCTTTATGCTCGCTACAACTCTATGAACATTAGATACCTCATCAGACCACTTCAGGCCCTCCTTTGAGTAAACAGGGCCCACTTCATCTAATTTGTAAAGCCCAAAGGCACCAGCAGACAGCAGAAGTAAGGTTGTTTGTTGGATGAGATGGAAGTAAAGGGACAAAAAAGAAAAACCGACTCTCTTCAAGAATTCCTCAATCAAAGCTTTCAGTTCGTCCAAACTCATCACTGAAGTGAACTTAGTGTACAAATCATCTCCCAGTTGTTTCAGCGTCATATGCGCAGACATGCTAGACACATGGACAACTCTGCGGAATCGAAGTAAATTGCTCCAAAGGATACCTGGCGTTCTCTGCGAGAAGAGGAAGAAATTCCAATGTGAAATCAAAGGTGCAGGTAAAATTAGTGTGCACAGTAACCCTAGCTTGTTCGCCAAAAGGGACGGGTGACTCGTCCTGCAACGTGATGAGCAAACCATTGAAGTTACTTTATATATACCAGCATTATTAACGGCGATGTTGATCCCGTCTGGATAATAGGCTTTCATGTACGCCAGGAAACTTTTCCGGCTCTCAGCATCGGTAATATCCAACTGATGGAACTTAACCTGGAGACCTCTGCCTTTCAATTCCTCACACGCTTTTTTGCCCAAGTCAACATTTCGAGCTGTACACCAGCTGGATAACAATAGCGAATTACCTGTTAGGTAGACGTCCCACTCTCCGGTGGAACCATAAGCATGTGCCAATTTGGCAACAATCCCAAATCCTATCCCTCTATTAGAACCAGTAACCTGAGGGATGAGAAAACCATGAAAAACTTACGAAAGCAACCTTCATAGCCAGGAAACAAAATGATTGCGCAAGTATGTCAAAGCCACAATGCTCTTTGCTTTCCTAACTCTTTGAATGCCACCTGAGAAGCACAGAGTTGGAAATGCTTGAAGAAAAGTGAGCGAGAAACGTAGAGTTTGCCATTTTCGTCTAACGTAAAAGGGCTACGAAGCCCCAAATAACTCAGATACCCGGATATGCAGATTTCCTGTTCGGTTTGAAGTTTCAAGCATACCACTCTCACAAAGAGCCCTTGGAAGGAATTCGAAATTTGTCGACTCATCTCCATCTTCATCTGTGAAAATTCGTTTATCAGACCGCATTGCATTAGACGACTCTTGCGTGGTGCAAATTGGGGACAATGATTTTAGATCAGTCATACGACTGCGAAGTCAACTTTACTTAAGCGGATGCTTCCTTGTTTTCATTTGGTGAAAATAAATCGTATTTTGCCAGAGCAGACTCCGCACATTCTAGATCTCGTGCTCTCCCCGGCAGATTCGGATGTCACGAACCTAACCGTTCTTCAACCCATAGGCAAGAGCGATCATTGTGTTGTTTCATTCCACTGGACTCGCCGTCTCAACTTCCATAGCCACAGTAAGCACCGTCAGACTTTTCTGGCGTGCCGACCAACTACGTCTGAAAACGGCCGCAAGCGCTACGGATTGGGCTATCCCTGAACACATTCACCTCGATGACGCGTGGAATCTTGTACTCTCCAAAATGACGTCGTTAGTTGAGCAGGTCGTTCCTTTCTCCCATCAAAAGCCCTCCACTAAAGATACATTTTGGATGGATCGAAAACTGAGGTCAACTATAAATAGAAGGCGCAAATTATGGGACCGCTTTAGGCAATCTCATTCAGAACCCGACTTCTCTCACCACAAGAATGTCAGAAATGTTTGTGTCGTGATGAAGCGCCAGAAACGTCGACAATACGAACTATCCTTGGCAAAACACTACAGAATCGCGCCTAAAATGCTCTACTCTTATTTGAAAAGAAGCACCAGAGCTGGTAATGGCATCCCTTTTTTGTGTTCCTGTGATCATTAAGCTTTACTTCACGAGGACTCTGAGAAAGCTAGTCACTTGGCTAAGCAATACGCTTCTGTTTACGTGAAAGAAACACCATTTAGTGACAGAGCCGTATCCACCTTTTCATATTCGTTGGCCCAGGTAGACATTAACATTGATTCTGTGATGAAACTACTTGAGTTAGATCCGTAGAGTCCACCCGGCCCTGATGGATTGCATCCTTTGTTCCTCAGGACTGTGGCGGAGTAAATAGCTTCACCCATATGTCAAGTCTTTCGTCGCTCACTAGAAGCTGGCCGTCTTCCGTCAGCTTGGAAAATGGGTATTGTCAAACCCATCTACAATGGAGGAAGTCGACAGGAACCAGCCAATTATCGTCCAATCTGTTTGACGTCAACAGTGTGTAAAGTTATGGAACGGATCCTAAAACAGGCTGTTCATCTTGGGGACAGAATGTCATGGGACGACAAGGTCCCGCATGAATGGCTTCTGTTTAAGCTCCAAGGAATCGGTATTTATGGGAACTTCATGTCTTGGATCTCCGAGTTCCTAAACGAACGCTCTATGCAAGTGAAGGTGAATGACACATTTTCTACTCCTGTTCTCATGATGAGTGGGGTCCCACATGGCTCTGTCCTCGGTCCCGCACTTTTCAATATCTTCATCAACGACTTACCATTAACACTTCAGGCGGATTGCCTAATCTACGCTGACGACCTAAAGCTATGGATGGAAGTATCCAATCTTGAAGACGCTGACAGATTACAAACTAGGCTCGATCTACTCCATGATTGGTCGATTAAATGGCAGTTGCCCGTAAATCGTGATAAATGCTCTGTTCTCCCCGTTGGCTCATCAAACCCATTTGGAACTTACCACATTGGTGGTTCCTTGCTCAAAAGCGCAACCCAAGAGTGGGATGTTGGAGTGATAGTGTCATCAGACCTCAAATCTATTCAAGGCACCCAGAAGAGGGTCGCAGCGGCCTATAGGATGTTCCATTCTATATGTAGAGGGTTTTCGCTCCTGACCCCCGGACTTTTCCCGACTCCCCTTTGGCTCGCATGTACGCCCGATTCTCGAATACGGGCTACCCGCTGCCTACCCACTCACGAAATCCGAATGTGATCTGATAGAGAAGGTTTAACGGCGTGGATCCAAATCCGTCTATGAGTTGCGAGACCTGTCGCACCCACACCGACTTCAACGACTGAACTTGTTCTCTCTAGCTTACCGCCATCACTGAGAAGATTTGATATTCACTCGACGTATTCTCAGAGGAGAACTGGGGTGCGAGTTACACAATTTCTTTCAACTCAACACTGAGAGTTCGACACGAGGCCCCCGCCTGAAACTGTTCAAACTGAAGAATCTCCGTGTGCGGCTCAATTTGGCTTTAACAACTCGCATAGTGAATGATGGAAACCGGTTGCCGGAGCCTATCGTTTATGCTGAGACTGAGGAAGATTTCAAACTGGCGGATTCTCACCTGAGCACGCTGGGATTTTGCTGCCTCTAACAAAGCTACAATGGGCCTCTGCGGAACCTTCTGCCACAATGACCCACGCCATTTCCGTAATGATCGGGAAGTGAAGGAGCTGACAAAGGATCTTCCTTCATCATCATCATCATCGTCATCATACACGTTAGCTAGAGGTGGGGAACACCTCAACTACTGTGCCGCAATACACAGAAAAAGGAGAAAAAATGCAACTGGTGCAAGCTGGCTTGGCTACCGGTAACGGATGGGCATCGTTCCGGTAAGCTAATAGCCGGCTGCTGTGCACCAAAACAGCAAAATTACTATGCAAAATTTTATAAGGCTAAATAATGAGATCGAGTTTGGAGGGGGAGGCTAAGAGGGATGGGGTGAAACAAAGAAACTCACAGCACGAACGCCACTGAGCTCGGCTCCTAGCCATATCAGCGAGTGTGTTCAACCAAACGTGTTCATCGTCTTTCGGACCCCAACCAGGGAGTCGAGACGCTCCAACTGAGGCCAGCTCAGAAGTGAGGGCCTTCATTCCTCTGGACCAAATCATCGCTTCGCCACCCGTCCTCTTCTTCCATCCACACCCCTGGCGCGCAAACAACACACGTCGCGGAAGTCGGTGGGCTGGCATGCGTAACACGTGGCCGAGCCATCGGAGCCTGATGCGTGAAATGACGGTGCTGAGCGGTTCAGTTCCTTTTCCTGTGCCATAAACAAGGCGTCGAACAAGCTCGTTGCTCACGCGGTGTTCCCACCAGATGTGAGCTAAATTACGAAGGCACCGGTGGTCGAACGTAACTAGCCTCTTGACGTCCGCTGCTTTAAGTGGCCAGGTTTCACAACCGTACAGTAGGGTCGAACGTACTGCTGCATTGCACACTCTACCCTTCAAGGCAAGAGTGATGTCGCGCCGGCGCCACAAGTGGTGAAGATTAGCAAAAGCGCCCCGAGATTTTGCTATACGATTCGTGATTTCATCTTCAATCCCACAACTGATACAAGTTCCCAGGTAGTTTAATTTTTGAACGACTTCTAGCTGATCCCCACCAAGGGTCAGCGTAGGAGGCGGTTGAGGCCAATCTTGGAGGAATGCTTTGCACTTCGAGGGTGCGAAGCAAAGCCCGAAGTGACGGACAGCTAGTGCTAATCTGTCCAGTGCCGCTTGGCACGTTTGTGAGCTGTCACAGATCAGGGCAATATCATCAGCATACTCTAAGTCAAGAAGTCGTTCTCTTGGGAGTAGCTCCACACCAAAGTCGTGTCCTGTGAACGCGATTTCCATGACTTCGTCAACAGCGAAGTTGAAGATGAAAGGTGACAGCGGGCATCCTTGTCTCACGCTGTTGGAGATATTAAATGGCGACGACAACTTGCCGTAAGCCCTCACTCTGTCCGAGCTACGCGCATATAATGTTCGGATAATATTCACATATTTCTCAGATACACCTTTCCTGAGTAGACAGTCCCAAAGTGCATGTCTATCCACCGAATCGAATGCATCTTTTATATCGAGGAACATGACGACGTTGGGCCGCCACTATGTGTGACGGTGCTCCAACAACTGACGCAAAGTGAAGATGTGGTCAATGCAGTCACGACCTCGACGAAATCCAGCTTGCTCTTCACGAATCTGGCTTTCACGAGTGCCAGTCAGTCTGTGAAGGATGACAGAGGCAAGCAATTTGGAGGCGATGGAGATCAGACTGATTCCTCTATGGCTGCCGCATTCCGATCGTGAGCCTCATTTGAAAATTGGGACTATGATGGAGCGGCTTCAATCGGTTGGTACAGTTTCCTGCTCCCATATGTGACTAGTAAATCGTGTAAATTATCCACAAGAGCAGGACCCCGAATTTAAAGAGGGCTGGAGGAAGATCATCAGGTCCTGCGGCTTTATTTAACTACAACAGTTTGATCTCATGTTCGACTTCTGAGCGAGAGGGTGGATCCAAAGGAACAGCCCACGGATCAGGGCGATCACTGGTCGGCGAGAAATCTAACAATTTCGACCGATTAAATTGCCTTTCAAAGTGCTCAGCCCAACGTTCCAAGCGTTTTGATACGTTATGGATAGGCTGTCCAGTCTCGTCACATAGTTTCACTAACATCAGGTCTCCTGCTGCCCGTTTCCCGTATCAGACGGAATAACTCACGATGGTTACCAAGGGCAGCAGCCATTTCCATCTCTGTTGCACGATGAGACCACCAGGATTCGCGGTCTCTCTTCAGGCTAGCACGGAGTTTCGCCCGGAGCTCTTTGCGAGTTTCATTGTATTCGCTTCCAGCCGGAATATGCCGGTGAGCATCTATAAGTTCCAGAGACTGCGAAGAGACCCAATGTCCATGTTGACGATTAGACATACCACATGAGGATTTGCCTGCTGCTAGTAAGGTCTGTTGAATATGAGACCAGTGAGCTTCAATTGCATCCAGTGAGCGTTTATCCAACTCGGATGACAGCGTAATTTGATAGGCATTCAGAACAGCTGGCTTCGCCAGTCTGCCGGTGTCAATGCGCTCACATCGTCGTCGCGGGCGTCCGCCAAAGCGCATCCGCATGTCAGCACATACAAGTGCATGATCGGTGTCAACACCTGTGCTCCAAATCGAGCGACAGTTCTGGACGCAGCCTCTCCAGCGGTAACTGATAGCAATGTGATCGATTTGCGTCCAAGGCTGGTGGGCGCCAAGTCACCCTTCGGCGGGTGCTGTGTCGGAAATTAGTGCTCGCAAGTAATAAGCGAGCATCCTCACACAGATGAAGTAACTGCTCACCGTTATCATTACGGGAGCCTACACCATGTTGGCCGCCCAGATGCAGCTCA